AAAAAAAAAAAAAAAAAAAAAACCAAAAACCAAAAGCCAAAAAAAGACAAAGAAACGAGAAATAGAGAAAATGAACAGAAAATAATACTTTAAATGTAAATAATCTAAGTATACCAATCAAAGGACAGAGATTGACACAGTGGATATAAAAGCATGAACCAACTATATGCTGTTCATAAGGAATTCACCTTAAATACATCATAGGTAGACTGAATGTAAAAATAAAAAGGATGGTTAATGTTATCTTGGCAACATTAACTTTGTTCAAAAGTATGATAGGCTATATAAATATAAGATAAAGTAGATCAACAGTCTTTTTAACTTAGAATGCTCCAGGAGGGCAGAATGAATAGATCCTTCCTGAATGAATCAATGAATGACTGACAGCCAAGTGGTACTGGCACATATAATGCAAAGGAAAAAAAGAGAGCAATAAAGAGGGTATATTATATACAAAAATAAGTTCTAGACAGATTAAACAGAAAAAGGCTACAGAGCTATGTACAAATTAAATCTCTATTTGCTAAAGATATTCTAAACATTGTAAATTATCAAAAAGGCTTGAGCCCAAGAGTTTGGGACTAGCTTGGGCAGCCTGACGAAACCCCATCTCTACCGAAAATACAAAAAAATTAACCGGGCGTGGTGGCATGCGCCTGTCACGCCGGCTACCATACTTAAGAGGCTGAGGTGGGAGGATCATGTAAGCCTGTAGGTCAAGGCTGCGGTGAGCTATGATTGCGCCACTGCACTCCAACCTGGGCAACAGAGTGAGACTCTGTCTCAAAAACAAAAAACAAAACACACACACACACACACACACGATAAGCAGCAAGGACTCAAATTGTGGCAAATTGAATCCATGCTTAACTCTGCTCCCTTGTGACACCTACCAAATGGCCATAAAAACAGGAAAAGTTACAAAAGCGCAAAGATGAAAAAGAATAACAGACAAGAGACGGCAGTAAAACTGTGGAAGATGAAAAGTGCACATATGAGTAGTAATTGACTTAGCAGAGAAGATACTAAAACTATCTGTCAAAGGGGAAGACAAGAAGCAAAAAGGCTTCAAAAAGACTTCAAAAATAGAGGATTCAGGTACCACTGAAGTTATGAGTGAGGATAAGGAACGAAAAACAGGAGGATTAATTGAAAATGGGTTTAGGGAACAGTTAGTTCTTCCATGTCCCGTCTCCCACATGCACCTCCAGATGCCTATCCTCCATTCCTGAAGAAGATGGGCAGTTAACTTTTTGGAGAAATTAAAATGCAAAGAGGAAGTATGTTGTTGGATTGATAACAGGAAAATTAAGTGAAAGTCTGTATGCTGAATGGTGAGACAGTCACCTGGCCCCCAATCCTTTTGCCCCACCCAGTTCTCAGCATGCACTCAAGGCCTATAGCCTCAAGTCAGGTGGTTGGAATATTTCTCATTGGAGAAACCCAGTGAGAAGAATTATACATATGGAGTTACAGAAGTCCCTAAATGAAGAGGTTCCTTCTCAATTCCTCTCAAACGAAGCCACCAGTTAACTAGTCCCATCCATTCACACACATTTAACAAACAGCTTTTCATGACTTTCCTCTCAAGCATAAACAAACATTCAAAGAACAGTAGACATTTTAAGAAAGTGTCTAACGTAAGTAACAGATACCTTGGCAGGAACTGATACCTACCTCTCAAAATCCATTCTGGCTTTTTATCTTGGTAAAAAAATTAAAAATCTGTGCATGGGCAGCGGATGGTGGCTCATGTCTACAATCTCAGCACTTTGAGAGGCTGGAGGATAGTTTGAAGCCAGGAGTTTAAGACCAGCGTGGGCAACAAAGTGAGACCCCATCTCTACAGAACATTTAAAAATTAGCCAGGTGTAGTGGCGTGCACCTGTAGTCCTAGTATGTGAAAGGCTGGGGGCAGGAGGATCAATCATTTGAGCCCAGGAGTTTGAAGCTGCAATAAGCTGTGATCGCACCACCGCACTCCAGCCTGGGTGACCGAGTGACACCATACCTCTTTTTTTTGAGTGATACCATACTTCTTTTTTTTTTCTTTTCTTTTTTCTCTTTTTAACCTTTTAATAATTTTGCTTCATCAATTGCTTAAAAGAGACACCATATCTCTTAAAAGAGAGAAATGAAAACCTGGACATAGCTGTTCGGCAACATTACATTTCTCAGCCACTTTTAGGCTAGGCATGGGCATATGTTTAAATTATCACCAACAGAACCTAAACAAAGGTGATGTGTGACTTTTATAGCCCAGAGCCTTTCAGAGAGTGAAACTGGGCTGGGCACAGTGGCTCATGTCTGTAATCCCAAGACTTTGGGGAAAAAAAATCTAATACTTAAAAGAACAACAACAAAGCATTTAGTTAGGTTTTTTTTTTTTTTTTTTTTTTTTGAAAGGGAGTTTCACTCTTGTTACCCAGGCCGGAGTACAATGGCGCAATCTTGGCTCATCGCAACCTCCGCCTCCTGGGCTCAAGTGATTCTCCTGCCTCAGCCTCCTGGGTAGCTGGAATTACAGGTGACTGACACCATGACTGGCTAATTTTTGTATTTTTAGTAGAGACAGGGTTTTGCCATGTTGGCCAAGCTGGTCTTGAACTCCTGACCTCAGGTGATCTGCCCTTCTTAGCCCCCCAAAGTGCTGGGATTAGAGGCTTCAGCCACCACACCCAGCCCAATGAAGCATCTGGAAGTTAAAAATAGGGCATCAGAAACAAAAATCCAATGGAGAATTTGTAAGACAATAGTTATGGAATGTCCCCAGAGCATAGAACAAAAGGAGAAAAACAAAAAGACTGGGAGGCTGAAATTATCAAATAATTCAAGAAAATTTACCCAGAATTGAAAAATGAAGTTACTAAATTAAAATTACCTAATAATGTCTAGAACAAGGACTGTAAATAAATAAAATCCCTTACCAAGGATAACCCTCTTGAAGCTTACAAATATTATGAAGAGAAGATGCTAAAAGTTACCAAAAAAAATAAATAAATAAAAGAGATCACATACAATGAGTCTAGAGTAAGAATGGAAAAATGGCAAAAGCATTCTCAACAACATAAGACAGTAGAGTGGCTAGGCACGTGGCTCACATGGCATTCTGGGAGGCTGAGACGGGTGGACTGCTTGAGTCCAGGAGTTCAAGACCAACCTGGGCAACATAGCAAAACCCCGTCTCTAATAAAAATATAAAAAACTAGCCAAGCATGGTGGCAAGTGTCAGTATGGGAGGCCAAGGTGGAAGAATCATCTGAGTCTGGGAGGTCGAGGCTGCAGTGAGTCCAGAATGAGCCACTGCACTCCAGCTTGAACAACCAGAGACTCTGTCTCAAAAAAAAAAAAAGGCCAGGTGTGGTGGCTCATGTCTGTAATCCCAGCTACTTGGGAGGCTGAGGCAGGAGAATTGCTTGAACCCAAGAGGTGGAGGCTGCAGTGAGCTGAGATCACGCCACTGTACTCTAGCCTGGGAGACAGAGCAAGAAAGACAATGAAGCAAAGGCTTACTGTGAAATAAAACTATTTCCAATCTTGAATTTTATCCTCAAGCAAACCATTAAATAAGTACCAAGACAGAGGAAAGACATTTTTATATATCAAGGGTCTCAAGGTATGTGCTCCAACAAAATGAGATACAAAAGAAAATATGTGGTCCAAAAAGAAAGGGTATCCAACATAGAAGAGACAGAAGTCCCAGGAGGAGGGCAAAATGATAGGAAGGCAGTTGTGCCAGAAGACCTCGTCGGTACAGATGACAGCTACAGAGAGCTCCAAGTACCTATGGACAAAAAAACGAAATAAA